TAATAATAATTAGCTAACTTATAGATACACTACTATATGCCAGACACTGTTCTAAGCACTTCACATGTATTATCTCATTTAACTCTTTCAACAACAGTCCTATGAGGCAAATAGTACTGTTAACACCCTCTTTTACAAGATGAAGAAATTGAGGAAGCAGAGTATAAGGAACTTGTCCAAAGTCACACAGTTGGGGTGGAGCCAGGACTTGAAATTTGGTTCTAGAGTCTGGGTTGTGCTACCTCAAGAAAGCCAGACTTTGGCTAGTCTGAGGAATATCAAACCAAAGAGAAAACTTCATAGCTTTTAGAGCCATCTGATTATGAAAAGGCTTGCTTCTCTGAGGCAGCGAGTCCCACATAACTGAAGGTATTCAAGCACAAGTTGGACTACCACTTGGCAAAACGTGGTAAGTAGAGTCTTACCACTCAGTGTGGTCCTTCGATCAGCACAATCGGCAGGCACCTGGGAGCTTGAGAGAATCTCAGGTTTCTCTTCAGAACTACTGAGTATTAAAGTTTGAGCAGCACTGTAGCACAGAATCTTTATGTACCAGAGAATAATAATGTAGAGGCTGAGAGTCTCAGCTCAGCCAATTTCTAGCTGTGTCACTTATTTGTCTAAACCTCAGTTTCTTCATCTAAAATGGGGCCAATAATTGTACTCCCACTGGGTTGTTGTAAGGATTTAATGAGTTAATACATGTAAAGCACTCATCACAGTGCCTAATACCCTGTAAAACAAAAACCAAAATCCGTTGCCATTGAGTTGATTCTGGCTATAAGTACTCAATAAATGCAAACCATTAACAGAATTATGCATCAGAGGTAAAGCTCAACTAAATAAATACCCCTTAAGAGCTCTTTCAACTTGTCCACAAAGGCAAGAAGCGGCCCTAACCTACCAACTAGGCATTAAGTTTCCCAGTCTTGAGGGCACATGAAGAACAATAACACCCTTACCTCCTTCATTAAGATGACTGCAACAAGAAAAATAAGTATTACTTTCTTTTCAATTGCTATCATAGAGCTTAAATATACTGGTAAACACTATCATCAGGTTTCAAAACACTTGGAAAAAAATCACCATTCTGAAGAAAGAGAGGGAAAAAAGAAAATCAGACACCTGTCTTTTAATGATTAAAGTGTACAGGAAAGAAAAGACTCTTCTCAAACACTGCCTACAATGTTTGAAAACTCATTTGGCATGCCGGTATCACTTGTATAAAAGTGTTATAGGCCCAAACCTGTAAAAAAAAAAATCCTATTTAAGATAAACAGGAGATGATAAACAGAAAATATAATTTAACTACAACAGCATTTGGAAACCAGCTGGTTAAGAATGCACCAGAAAATATAACTGTAAGTGGTGCAATAAAAGAGAAATTCTTTTAAAGCATATTCTCAACTTCAAGGTAAGACACTGTCAATACAGACTTCTGCTGTCTACACAGTATGACAATAAGACAGGATGTCAACATGTCTGGAGTCACACAAGTCTTTGTCCAATGAGGCATTTACAAATTTAAATCATGGTAATGGTTGTCAAATGGCAACAGGTGGGAACATTCATATGCCAAAAACATAATAGAGAAGGAAAAGAAAGTTTAGATAGAACAATAATATATTAGGCCTGAGTAAATAAGCACTATCACAGAAAACTCTGGCTGACTTCATTTCCTTCTAGTAACTCAGTACATGCAATATGTGCACCAACTGCTTGTTCATTTCTGAAGGGACTGCCAAGTCCTGGAGCCATATTTTTAATTTTAATGCTCCAATTAGACAGGCTCTTTTAAGAAAAACTGGGATGATTTTGCCAGATTCTTAGACTAATTCCCTGAAGGGCTTTGATTGTCTAAGAACCCAAATACCTACTATAAGAGGGACATTAACTATCTCCTTTATCATTAAATGCAAGCTTGTAGAGTTG